TACCAAGAACTGGAGCAGACTTCAAAACATCTTTAGACCGTGTTTTGATTGGTCTTCTTTTTCAAATATCTCAAATACAATTTGAAAGCATTTAATTGAATACTCGTTTTCTTTTTTTATTTTAAATGAGCTTATTAATAAAATTAGAAAAAGAAATTAATAAAATATAAATATCTAATTCATAAAAATAAATGATCGAAATTAATATTGGAAAATTTTGCATTTAATCTAATATCTTTTAAATGTAAAAGAAATCTTAAAAATGTGAAAAGTCAGAGAGTGGCTGCTCAAAATAAATATTTTATTTTAGAATCGTTACTTTTAGTAAACAAATTTAAATTATTAAGTAATAAATCAAGTTAACATTTTACAATAATCAAATCATTATGACATTACCTTTAGTAATAAAAGAATAGTACTGATATAGAAAATAAATTTTTTTTTCTTTTTTTTTTTTTTTACCATCTATGTTTTCACCTTCAGATTTTTTATTTACTAAATTTTCATCATTCTATACGTTTCAAAGTCCAACATTAAGCTATTAAAAACGTATTTCTTCCTTATAATTATAAAATAATGTATCGTTTGTGTACATTATTAATTTTTTTTCAAAATTATGAATTTACTAATTTTTTAAATATGAAAATTATATTACTAATTTTTATTCCAAATCTTTTAAAAAATTATGAAAATTTATAGGTACCAAAATTGGTATTAGGGGTTAAAACACGAGGTTGCTTCTTTGAATATTAATTATTAATTTAATGATTAAAGTAATATGTAAAATTTTAAAAAGACAAAAGTAATTTATTTAGCTGAGCAAAATTTATTGTCTAATAATTAAATAATTACAGCTCTTTAATATTTTTTTGGTCTCGAAAAATAATAATAATAATAAAGTTGGTAATGTGCTGTTCCCCAAAATGAAAAAAATTCGAAGTATGTTCTTTTGTTTGTTGAGTCACGAGCCTGGGTAACTATTGTTTGTGTACGTGGAAACGATGCACGTGGCGCCGTACTGTACAGGATTAACTTTTTCCCGTGTGATTTTCTGACTTTCATTTGATCCGACGGTCGACAATACGAGATATGAGTATGTGTCTTGCACGTTAAATGAGGGCGATTGGCGTTGGCTACCCCCAAAGGTGACCATAGTTTGAGCTCGACAAAATCAAACGCATAGTGCATGTGCGTGGTCTAAGGTAATGTTTTCTTTTTGTGTTAATTTCGTGTTGATTCAAGGATATATATATATATATAGGGTAGGTATTTTTTTTTTTAATAAATATGAATATTAAAAATCAAATATTTGTGTAAACCAGACACATAAGTTTTCCTTCTAGTATATTTTTATCAGAATTTTTTTTTCTTATGCGTAATTAATTATTAATTGTTGATAATGACAAATCTGTTCACACATTCAAACTCTAATTTGGGCAACATAAAATATAAGACTTTGGAAATATGAAGATGGTACAAAAGTCAAATGATAAAATTCCCAACTAAAATAACTAGGAATAAAGTTCTGTTGAGGAAATCATAAGAATTATTTTAAAAATAATACAAGTAAACTTTATATTTGTACAAATTTTGAATGTGTGAAAATATTTCTATATGAATATAGAACTAAGTTATTTTAATTTATAAATTGATAAAATATAAATATTTAAATTAAAGAAATCCCGAAAAAAACATAAAAACATTACAACAATCGCCGGATTGCAATCATGGGCCATCCACACTTAATTTCGCCTCCACGTGACCCGTCCCATTCACTTGTCCCTCTTCAAACTCCTTTATCAAATCGGGGTCCACATTTTCCTCTGGCTCCCACGTGGCATCATCCATGTCCGTCCATTTCACTAGATATTCCATCTTCCCATCATCCCCAACCCGCTTCCCTACAACTCCCTTCGCCACAGCGTATTCTAGCCCAGCCTCGTAGTCTCTCACCAAGTCCTCCCCTACAAACGCCGTTTTGACCCACTCGTTATCAGAACCGTCCTTCCATTTGACTAAATATTCCACGTATTCGCCTTTTCCTCTCTTCTCCAATATCTCCTGCACCTCAGCGTACTCGAATATTGCATCCTCGAATCTTCTAATTACATTTTCCATCCCCAATCTTCTTGCAAATTGCATCGGGTTCCCCTTCGGGGTCACTTTAAGAATCTCCTTCGCCAAATCCAACGGCGTCAATCCCCTGTCATCCTCCACTTCTGGATCCGCGCCGAGCTCCACCAATGCCTTGACCACGTCCGGCTTCACGTATCCAGCCGCCATGTGAAGAGCCGTCAAGCCGCCGCTATTGTCGCGGTGGTTTAAGTCGGCGCCGGCTTCGGCTAACATCCGGACGCAAGGCTCCGAACCGAGTCCCGACACGAAGAGGAGCGCGGTCCTGCCATCTCCGTCCACGGCGTCAATATCCCGCCCGTCAGCTTCTGCGGCGTCGATTAGCTGCTTGAGTGCCGACTCGTCGGCTTTCTTGGCTGCAGTCCACCACGGGGTCTCGTACTCCGCTACCACATCTTTGGCAATGAAATCGGATAGCAACCAGGAGGGCTCGTGGCCGTCCTTCCACTCTATCAAGTACTCCATGCCCGTGCCACCCTGGAGGGCTCTGCTGCCGATAATCTTGTTGACTTCGCCGTAAGACTCATCTTGTTCTTGAAACTTTTTTTGCGTTTGTTGGGAGCTTGTTTCCTGGTTCTGGACGGCGAAGGCCGCGAAGCTGCTGGTTCTGTGGGTTGTTCTGGTGGTTGCCAGAGATTGTACTTGTGGGTTGAGTGAAGAAGAGGAGAGAGTGGTGAGTTTTGGTGCGGGTTTGAGGCGCGAAAGAAACTGGTTCATGCAAAGAGCGTCCATTGAAGGTAGGTGTTAGCGGCGGATTGGGGAATGCGTCTTTGGCACACTGAGTTTTGTAAATGCCAAATGGTGGCGTTGAGAGGAAGTGAGGTGGCAGTGGTTTGTAGATTTTTGGGATAAGAAACGCCATCCATTTTCTTAGCTGTTTGTAGGTTACATTTGGACAGGCATTATTATTTTTTTTTAATTTTTTTGTGGTTGTCTAGCCATCCAAGGAAACGGCGGCGTTTTTTTGTCAAGAATGATAATATATGGATTGGACTATTTTGAGGGCTGCTGGTGGCCCAATACTTAAATGTTTATCTTTAGCATTGTACAATATTTTTTAAAAAGATATTTTTCTATAAAAGTAAAATATTGAACTCAAATAAAATTTTAATTAAAACCTTTAAACTTATTAAAGAATATGCAAGTTATTTTTTTATAAAAAAAATTTTTAAAAATCATGTAACTGTTTCAAATTAAATTGCTAGAAACTTAAAACACATTCTTATAACGTAAAGTTCAAAAACTTCACAAATAAAGAACAAAAAAAGAAGTAATTTCTTCCGATCATCTTCTAGTTTTAGCTGTTTGGATTAGCAGGGTAACTATTTGCATTAGGATTTCAACATCCTTTTATGTTTTTTTTTTACCAAAAAAAAGGTTAATGAGAAGTGTATTCCCCATCAATTTTAGTGGTAAGTCTATTTTTACACTTTTTTTTTTCAGTCAAAAAGAAGAAAGAAAAAAAAACATTACATTCTATAGCATTATGCCTAATCAACTCATTATCATAAGGATCAAAATAAAAATAATAGTTAAGAGCTTCAATAGCACGATTAAACTTTAAAAAACTCTCATTTATATAATATCTTAATGAATTAATTGATCAATAAGAGTATTGATTTTTTAAAAGATATGAAATATTTAAACATTTAAGTCACGCAAAATTAGATCTCTAAACTCATAATCAATATTCGTGGTCGACAAGCCAAATCTGGTAATACACTATAAATGTTGGGACTTTGGAAGAGGAAGTCCACCTCAAGGAACAATTTCCTAATCCCCATCTCCCAAGCAAAATT